GGGGGGGGGGGGCAAAAATATTAACACATCGAGTGCCACAGTGAAAAAGGCCGTACGTAGTCAGACACGCTTTATTTTGTTTTTAGTCATAAATCGTTAAAAATGTATGCGTTTTGTTAATAGAGGCTGTTGGTCGTGTTATACCAAATTATAAAATAGTATTTACAGTACTAAATGGTATTTAGCATTATAAAATAGTATTTATAGTATTAAATGGTATTTAGCATTATAAAATAGTATTTATAGTATTAAATGGTATTTAGCATTATAAAATGGTATTTATAGTATTAAATGATATTTAGTATTATAAAATAGTATGCAGAGTACTAAATGGTATTTAGTATTTTATAATACTAAATATTGACTCTGGTCTACTGTGCGCCGCGGCGTGTGTTGCACGTGTGGGAACGTGCCTTTACGGGCCGATGCAAGCGTAGACGGTTTAAATTTACGCGTGTGCAGCCGAAAATAATAGTGCCGGCGTTAGGCGTCGGGGCCTCTTGAAAATGCTTCTCGCGCATTCGAATATAAACCGAGAAGCCAGGTCAGGACTCGAAAATAATCCTAAGCATTTAACGTGACGATCCCATCGCTTTTAGAGCGATACGGGCAAGTGACGTGACCGATTTTCTCTTATATTACCTTTCGAATTGCGCTCCAATTGCAACGGTATCACCCCAATTTCATTCTCGATATCGCTTATTGTTTTCACCTGATTTTAGCGCACCATGTTACAGAAATAATAAAAAGAATGGATAATATACGTAGAAAATTCATTAGGTGTAATAATAAGCGATCCATTTACTTGTATAATTGTTCTCTAATTGCACTCTAATTGCAATAGAATGACCTAATTTCATTCTCGATATCGCTTGTTATTTTCATCTGATTTTAGTTTGTACCATGTTGCAGAAAGGATAAAATCTTAGAACAACGCATAATAATGGAAAATCCATTAGGTGTAACAATAAGCGTTCCACTTGCCTTTCGAATTGCGCTCCAATTGCAATGGAATCCTCCAATTTCATTCTTGAAATCGATTTTCACTTGATTTTAGTGTACCATTTGTAGAAAAGGTAATCTGAAAGCAACGTATAATATAAGTAAGTGCAAAATGTATTAAATGTGATAATTAGCGATCTCCAGAGTTGGGCATTATCTAAATCAGCGGTTCCAAATCTTCTTAGACTTGCGTACCACTTGCAGCCACTTTCCCTAAATTGTACATCCTAATATTAGACGAGTATTAGTACTACAGATTGGGAACCACTGATCTAGATAAAAAGTTATTTAAGTAACGATTCGAATAAAATTTGTAGCTTTATCTTTGTACTTTATTCGGTGGTTTCGAATAATGAATAAAATTTTATCATCTCTGACGATCCCTTATATTTGTAGTAAGGCCGTGGTGCAATTTTGAATTCAGAGTTACTTTCAGACTTTCTGTTCAATAAAAATGACGTGGGATGTAGGAAGCATACAATAAATATTGTTAACCCTAGAATTACCAAAGCAATCAAAACAACTGGCAAACTAATTAAAAGATGGTTAAAATTTTACAACAATGCATTTTCTCGGATCTTGCACAACGTTTATTGTAATTATAAATTTGTATATTTTCAAAAAGTCATTTTTATTGATCCGTTAGAAATAGATACACGTTTATCGTTGGTAGTTGGATAAAATAATATTACTTACTGGGACATCTAATATCTGCACATATTCCGTTTTTTTTAAATAATGATTTATGTTCTCAGATTGTCTTATAAAACTATCTGTAACTTTATAATAACTTTGATAGTCGTAGCTTACAGTGTCAATCAGAAGAAGGTTTAAAGTTTAATTTTCTTTACATCAAATTGTAGATAAGTCTCATTCACCATCTTACAAATTCTTTTGTCGTATCTGTACTCGGAAACTGTTTACAAAGGTCGCGATAAACAAATAAATGGCCGGAACCTGCAAAATATCACCACGCCATCATTCACACGAGATTACAATCTCTCCATCATTCGCCATCTTACAAATCCTTTCGTCTCATCTACACTTCGAATCTGTTTTCGAAAACCACGATAAATAAATAGCTAATCCCAAAGCTGCAGAACATCACCACGTGAACTGCTACATGAGATTAACGGTACATGGATCAAGATAAAGTGATTTAGATATAGAGCTATGGAGTTATTGATTCGACGGTATTATATATTATAAAGTGTCACGTCGATAGTGATTGTAATCAAGATATAGAAGCGCAGTAATTAAGACGCCACGAAGTACAGAATGATCAATACTCGGACTTTGAAATGTGTATCGATTAGTGTTATCCTGTCAGAAGGTGCAACGATTATGGAGACAAGTACTCGGGGATTGTATGGTAGCAATTAGTATTAATCCTCGAAAATGGGGTTAATTAATCCTGGAACATAGGTGGCAGACATATTGTTAAATCTAGCGTGTTCGAAAAAAGAATCATCTTGGAAAAAATTCCAAAAATCATCATGGATCAAATTGGAGCTTATCTCGATTCCTTTTCTCTGATATATTTTTAAAAAATCGAAATTATAAATTGACCACAAAAAATAAGTTTCTATTCCTGCGGATTAAGCTATAAAAATAGAAAGCTACAAATACACGCAGTCGGATGTAAATAGGTACTGAAGCTGTTCCGATTTCAAGAAGTCGTTAAATCTATTTCGAAAACGTGCCATCGATTTGCAGACATCAAAGTATTTATGAAAATTGTGTCTCGCGAGACTGTCATGAACCTGTTCCACTCAACTTACATACGCGTGTTATTACAGTAGATCAAAAGAGTCGGTTAATCTGTATCTGTCACAGCAATATTACTCCAATGAGATGTACTTTCGTTCGTGGCTGTACAGACGATTTAAAAAAAAAAAAACTTGAAAGATTACTTGTTGCACACAATTAACATCGATTTGTAACGATTAGGGTAGGTCTCCGTTTATCCGAACATGTCGAAGGACATCAGGATTCAGATAAGTGGGTCGTTCGGATAATAGGAGTCCACTGATTCTCCCTTTCATCATTATTATTCGTTGATATTCGAATAACTGGATTTTAACATTTCAAACAAAGGAAACATTTAAGAGAATATATCCAAGGCAAAGGTGGTGGTATAAACAAACTTTTTGTTTGATGTTACCGTCAAGGTTATTTAAAAGTCATCGATGTTTTCTTAAACAGCATTATGCAAATTTAACTTCGTAGCTTTATAGCTGCCGTCAAGACCAGTTCAACGATCTAGTATATGACCTTGAAATAACCTTGGATTCCAAAATCTAGGTTCGATCAACGTAAGCAATAATATGGAAAATCATTTTATTTAGATCAAATTAAATGTATAAACTAGCGTGACCTTCCGTAACGATGCAAGCATTTAATTGTTTTGTAAAAAATTTCGAATAACGAATAAAAGATAAAAAAATGTATTTCGTCATTTTTAAATTGTTTAAACATGGAAATTTCAATTTTTATAATAAAATAATACTTCTTGATGAATGAATCGACATTTGTCGAACAATTATTTAATCTCATTAACTGTTTAAATCTCAGAACAACACTCTTAGATACTGCTGTTTTTCACTGTGTATTATTCGAATAAAATTCTGCCCAACTCTGGTACCCATCAGGTCCACTCTTATCAGAAACCCCAAGCAGTAGCTATTTTATCCTTCACCTGTGTCCTTTAAATCGATTTCACCTCATTCACCGCTAAAGGAGCCAACAGAAACAAAGAGACGTCACGCTAACAAAACAAGCCCTAGTGGATGAAGTGAAAAGGAAAATATACACGACTGCAGAATAAAAGCACGTCTCGTTGGATGTTTCACCAGTGAAACGAAGGTCGTGCTCGAATACAAGTCTCCTATGTCCCGAAACCGCGTCGACCCATGTGTGCAAAGAAAACACTGACGATAGTTTATGACGTCACTGAAAGTCGGGGAAAATCTCCTGAACCTGCAAAAATATTTGGCAACCGGTAGTGGTTCCGTGGCTCGAATGATTCCGCTGCGAAAGCATCGAGTTCATTACACCTGCAAACGTCGCTCAGACCTATGGACACCTCAAAGAGGATTCTCCGTTTCTGACGTGTAACAAAAAAACTGTTCTCATTTATGAACTCGTTTGAGTATATGGACTTCTTCGAATGTGTATATAAACAACCTTAATTGTAGTTACGAGAGACCTTGGCTGCAGCTGAACCTTTCTCCCTGGCGCTACCATTGAAAGAGCCTCGGAGGACCTCCAAGTTAGAGGTCTGCTGACGTCAGGCCCGTATTGTGTCGATCTACCCTCTAATGAAAGCTTGTGTGTACGTTGCATCTCTGATCTTCAATTCTTCGCGATTCTGTTCACTTTCTCGGCGGAACTTTCGTGACGTTCATTGATATTCTCGGTCTTTTCTTATCGACTTCGCGAGACAGGCAACGAAGAGCTGAAAGACCAGAAGAAGTGGCGGAACAGTTAGACGGCGCACTGAGATTTATTCTTCGATAGCCTTGGGCCAAACGAAAATATTTGGCATCCAGCATAGTCGCGAGCTTGATGAAGGATTTAACTCGTGACTCGCGTGTATATGCTCGGCGAACGTGGGTTTATTCAAATATGGCGTCCTTGCTCTGTCGAATAGACTTCTATCATTTTGTGATTGTTGTTAATAAGGTAATGTCGTCCGAGAACGTTATTTCAACCTATTTCCGAGATATTTATTATAGGATATTAGAGATCTATTTATACGTAGAAAAATCTTTTTGTTTGCCACGTGGAAAATGGGCTGACACAATCGGCAGACATTTTGCCTTGAACTTCATTGGCTCGCCTTTGTTAGGAATTGTAATAATATGCTCGCGATAACTGTGCATGCGTCTCGGTGTTTTTGTTCTTTAGATACGATATTAATTGTACTCGTTTTTTTTTATTGTTTCAGAGTCCTTGCAATTGTTGTCCCATCTCGGTGAGTGGTCTTTTATTAATGTGCTACTAAGAGCTTGCGGGCTAGATATAAGAAAGTAAATTCGCTTGGGATGTATGTACCATGGTAATCATTGCTTTCACGGTCTTTAGAGAATACATAGTTTATTATGTCATGTATGTTTGAAAGTCTCTTAATTTGATGCACTTAGCCGTGGGACTAACATCAAGGATTCTGATACTCATGGTTTCTCTATTTTTAGTACTTGATAATTTATCATCATTATCAGTAGTTTTAAATTACCGTATAATGTTATGTGTTATAAATAGATGACGGATGTTTATGTAAATTCACGTTTTCTTAGACGATTTTACGAAACCTAGGGTCAATGGAAAATTTATTTCAAAGATTTATTAAATTAAAATCAGGATAAGGACATTATTTGTTCTATCATTTATTTTAATTTTGTTTTACAGATGATATATCATTGTTGCTTTCGATAATTTTTACAAATCCTCCAACTTATTATAATTTCTGATATTTTGGAATATTTGAAATTTTTTATATGTTGAACAGCTACAATCTTTTGGTAGTACTGGATCTATCAATAACTATCTGACGATTTTTTTTGAGTAAACATTGTTTAATAACGTCATTTAAATTCTAAATATCCCGATCTTTTTTTTAAATGGTGGAAGGAAACTGTATATGTACAAGCATACTTAATATTACACCATATACATATATTTAGATTTATTTATTAGATAATAAACGGTAGTTACCCCCTAAATATATAGGGTAACCTGTAATACATAGATCCAACTTTATGGATCAATTTATTACTTTCAAGTTATTTACATGGAAGAATTAATTAGAACCTAAAAAAGAAAATGTTTTTTCTTTCTGTTATCCTCTCATTTATATCTCCTATACGATATTGTTTTTATTGTGCAATTGCTTATCAGCGCAAGAGGTGCTCAAAATGACCACCGTGTATCTCAATGCGGGCCTAATAATCGCCTCGTTACTGGTAAATATCAATATTATTGTCATTTGTCAAGGTCTATGCGCAAGATATAGATGATTGTTTGTAAACGATCGGACGGAAACAAATACGGTAGCTTAGATTTGTCGAAACAATTACTGCGACGCGAATATCGCGAAACGAGGTCACGATAGCATATTATGTTTCTATGAACTTAATTTATTGTTTCAAGTGTCAATCTATACATATATGTCGGTTCGGTGTATCACGGAGCACCCAGTATAGTTGTCCTATTTGGTGTGAGGTTGTGTCTTTAGATCAGTGATCTCTATCAGACAGGAATTATTCTATTTTCGTCTAGCTGCTAAATTGGGTGGTACTACGTCTCGAAATAACCAGGGGAGGCCAGCTCTCGAAAGAAGCCGATTAATCAGTTTCTAATTAGGGAAATTTCTTCTGGTACAACGGCAATTTTTCACCACGTGATGTTTACATGACGTCTGGGGTATCAGTCCGATGGTTTGTAGTTGTCGGACTTCGGGCGATTAATTGATTTTTAACGTGGGACTCGCCTGATTTTTCCGTCTAGGAAAGTTTCGTTTTGGGTTTGGAATTTTTTTCACCCTAAGGAAATATAATACAGCGAAGAAAAAAAGGCGACAGATGTAATTAGAAGGTGATAATACAGTGTACTAATTCATTCTGTAAATTATGAATAGATTGAGTATTTAAATATGAAAAATGTATGACAAAAATTAGCAGACTTGACAGATCCTCTAATCGATGAAACAAATTCACCTTTGATTCGAATTTTTGTAAAGTTATCTAACCCTTCAAGGCGGTAGTTATGCACTGACAAGTTTATTGTAATTTGCCGCACTTTTAAAATGAGTGTTGCACTAGTGCAGTATTGAGAGTTGAAGGGTTAATATATTTAATTGATGTATGTACGTCAAATCGAGGAGAAAATTTTCCCTTATGTCAAATTACAGTCCGTTTTTTGTTCGTTATTGATCCATTGACACAGTGTCCTTTACGCCACCTTCTTAAATGTCGACTAATGGACTTTTTTTTATCTGTCCATCCTCTTTTTCTCCTAAAGGGTAAACTTTCTATTAGAGTATAGTTGACTTTGATCGAACAATACGTTCGAGAAAAATATCTAGAATTGTTAACATCTCTAGCCCCTCATTATAAATTATATTTGCAATACTGAAATCATTGCGTTTCACGACTGCAAAGCTAACGAGCAGTCCTTTTTTTTTTTTCACGTAATTCTATCGATTCGAACTAAGGAACGACACTTTTGTACATAATACACGTCCAGTGCGTCACGAAACCACTCTGTTCTGATCGATGCCTTCTAAAAATGGATCGTATGTTTCCGTAGAGACCAAAGTAAATAGCTTTTGCCTGTTAGGGCGATGCGGAAGATCGTGTGATTGGAGCTGAGCAAACGCATTAGATTATATTCCAATTTGTCGAGTTCCCTTTAAAGAATGTCAACGAAAGGGGTAATTTATTATCTCGTAACCGGTAATAAAGCGGCCTGTAGCCACTACTGCATCGCATTAGTTTAATGAAGACCATGTCGACTGCATTGCGTACACGTAGACTATAATAAACTAAATTTCGTTACACACGTAGATCTAAACTTCAAATGAAAATTACAACAGTCTTATGATTTCAGCGTGGAACATACTGTTCCAGTAACATTTGCATCTATTCTTTGTTTGCTTCCCTCAGATCATGTGTTAAATAAATAGTAGTCGTCAACCTTTGAGCCTGCAAAAGAAACACTACACGAACGTTCTATCGTACCGTAGATATCGATTTGTTTATACTGTACGTAGAAAGGGTGAACACCGTCGAATTGAATAATGGGGAAACCTTTATAACACAAAAATACATGAAATGTTTACTGATCATTTGATTCTGGACGAAATCAATGATTTTCAATTGGAAGTGATTTCATTCATGATTGCAAAATGTATAACGCAATGAAACTACGTTTCATGGCAACAATTCTATTGTGTTCTTCTTTCAAATGTGAGATACATCTCATTGGTCTTTCTTATGTACAGAATATAATATTCCGTCTTTATCTTCTATTGTGAGTAAGGCTTGACTGCATCGTAAAAAGATTATAAACAGGAAAGGATTATGATAATACCTATCGTGGTATGCTTTTGAAATGAAAATACATCGTTCAAATAGAAGTTTTCGTTTCATTTGATGGGTTTTACTACAAAAAGGTTACAGCACATTTGCTTTTCTAACGAAGTCTCTGAAACGTATGATATTGATAATATTTATACATAGTTAGTTAAAGTACTTTTTTCGAAGATATTCATTGGCCATAATGATTGTTTGAACTCTCCAGACAACTCTGATACTTTTCCAAGATGACATCTCTTTTGTACTATTTTGCAATTATTACATACTATATTTGCAAATTAATGTCATATTTGCCTGCTTTGCCTTCCTATGACTGTTTTGTTTTTATTCTATTAAGAATAAAAATGAAAGATACCTATGCAACATTCAAAAGTTTGACCTCAGTTCTGTCCGCCATCTTGAAACACGTGTTGGAAATATCGCCAAGGTTTGCATAATTTTAAATCTTAATACTAGAACTACCAGCATTGCACATGTACTAAATTAAATTGTATAATATAGTAACATCCACAATATAGCATAATATAGTATAATATAAAATCTATAGTAAATTACTACTATAATTTCAGTAATTGTACAATACAAAATCTGCAATCCGTCATTTTGACAGGTATGGTAGTTCTAGTGTTGAAGTGTTACTTTCTTACGAGAAGTTGCTATTTTAAATTGGTTTTTCTGTAAACAAATCGTGTACAGTGACGAGAAACATTATCCAACACGCTGACTTCGATGAAACTTGGCACAGAACTTGGCGTACAGTTAGACCACAGTACTGGACAAAAAGTTTGAAATCAGCAGAAATAAGGAAATAATTACATACTTTACATAGGAAATACTACTACACTCAGATCTTTTTATAACTAAAAAAATATATTTGTTCACATATTCATCGAAATTACATATGGAAAAATAATACTACACAGTATTACATGTCTATGTACGATTGAAATAATTGTTTCTCTGTTCAAATTTCTAAATTATTGTCGTCTTAGTTTCTACATTTATGGTCACACGCTTAATAAGTGAAACTATCCCCAAGAATTTGGGGTCATAAAATTATTCTTTATGGGAATGTTTTTTTTAACTTGTCGGAAATGTTAAGTACTATGCTACGTTCAACGAGTCGAGTCACTAGCTGTAGACAAAGGCCACGTGATGACCATTTAGATGGGACAGGGACAGGGACACTCGACTAGCGTCTGTCAACCAATAGCTGGAGCCGATGGCTCTATCACGTGCCTAGCACGCGGATGTTTTCTTTATTTTCACTGACTCGACTTCGTTGAAAGGACTGTCGAGTTTTTCGTTCCGTTTTATAAGGAATAAACCGGTGATATATCATACGTTAAGTCAAGACAATCTCACAAACTTGACAGAGTAACGTTTAAGAAGACAAAGGTGATCATCGGGCTACTTTTCGGTTTGCCAGCAAGGATTAACTCGTATCATTTTATTGTCCTCTTCGAGATGAAAATTATTGGCCATTACTGTCCACGCTACCCAAGACCAACTGGTACGATTTCAGGGACATTGTTGTGTTCTTACTAGCCATCCTCTAATTGAATTAAAAGCGTTTCTGGAAACTTGGTGTACCGTTCATAATAAACCCTGCGAAAATTGAAACCGTGACGCACGGACGTTGTTATAGCTAGCATTCTGGCAACGAAAATTCTTCACTTAAAATTCTTCCGTTGAAACAGAGCCCCTCGGAACGGTACGACGGAATTGAAGCAAATAAAACGTGATGCCGCGAAACTTTATCATTGTAAACAATCGGACGAAATGCAACACGCTCGAATATACTTTCGGAAAATGTTATCGTGTAGCGCAGTTATAGTATACCGTCCATGATAGTTCAATTTATCGATTCGAACACACG